AGCCATCGTAGCCCTACTGTACAAGCACTTCAGCACTTCGATATACTGACAGTCAACTTGGCACCGCTGAAGGGACTGCAGCATCGCCCAAATTTCGACGAAATCAAAGGCTTTCTCATAGTCCACATACGCCAGGCATAGTGCCAAATTGTACTCCTCGGACTTCTGTACAACTTGCCGAAGGGTATGTATGTGGTCTATGGTGCTAAAGCCCTTTCGGAAACTGGCTTGCTCGGGAGGCTGGAAGTCGTCAAGTCTGCGCGCGAGACGATTCGTAATGACTCTCGAAAACAGCACGTAGACGCGGCTCAGAAAGGAAATCGGTCTATAGTTCTTCAAGAGAGCGTTGTCACCTTTCTTGAAGAACAAGACCACCTTACTTCTGCTCCACGCCTCCGGTGTAATGCCACCATGGAGGACGAAATTAATTAAAGACGAAAGCTTCTGAAGGACTTCAAGTACGGTTTTCCACCCGCTTTCAGAAGCTCTGCTGTAATTCCATCCTCGCCTGGGGCGTTGCCGTTTTTAAGATGCTGGAGAGCCATTCTAATCTCGCTCAGACTGACGTCAGGGATATCTTCGGAATAGTGTCGGATAAGACTCACTCTTGGATCGTTACTCACACTTGCGTGTGGATCTAACGTTGACGTGTACAGTAGCATCCACACATAGTCTCAAAATAACTTTAATTTTTTGGTTCTCAATGCAACTAAATCTCAAATTTTGGTCTTAGGCACTAAACGCTAAATAAAAAGTGTATTAGACGTTGGAGAAAATGTAAAAATCAATAATGTTGTTCTGGAACAAATTACATTTTCACGTAATCTTGGCTTGATATTAGACGAGGAACAAAAATTTATTGATCACGTGAGTAATAAAATTAGGACATCATTTTCAAGCTGAAAATGCTCTACAAAATTAGACCTTATCTTAAGGAGGATTTACGGATACTTTTATGTGATACTCTGGTGCTATCTCAATTCAATTACTACTGGCCTACCTTTGTTTCAAGACTAAATTTCAACACAGTGAGAGCAAAATAAAGAGTGCAAAATGCCTGTCTTTGTCGTTTTTGCTGTAATGTGCCCAAAAGAGAATCCATTACTCCTTACCTGAATAAAAAAAGGCTTACTTAACATGATTGCTAGAAGGCAGTTTCAGTACGCTTGTACAGTGCATAGGGTAATATGGATCAAAAAGCCTGAGTACCTATTTGAAAAACTCATATGGATCAAAGACATCTCACACCGAAGCCTTCGTACGAACTCATTAAGCCTGTTGAGTATGCCAAAACATAAAACAACGCAGTACAGAGGATGTTTAACTTTACTGCAGCAAGAATATGGAACGTTTTGCCCGCTCCTCTAAGAAATAAAATGAGTACGGCAAGTTTCAAAGCCAAATATAAAAATCAGCATTGCTGAAGCGGCAAATTGCTGCAGAAAATTTGAAACATGCCTACTAGAAATACATAAAAATAAGAGACTTTTTTAAACATTTTATTGTAATATTATACTAAAAACCGACACCCATGTAACATCTCAGGGAGGAAGGAGTGCTTGAAAACCAGCGCTGCATGGTATCTTAATCCCACTTAATGCCACGCTTTAATTCCTTCTTCTCCTTTCCACCATCAGCACAGTCGGCGGGTCTTCACCCCTTTGTTGTCGATATTCCACGCATTAGAACCAAACGGTTTGCTTAGACTTTTGTAATGCGTGCAGCAAAGGAGTGGAATGAATAATTTGCCGGTGTCTATCTTTCCGTCCGAATACAATCTGGACGTCTTCAAGGCAAGAGTGAATAGGCTTTTGTTACGCTATGACAGTGCAATTTAGGGCTGCATCACCACTTACCACCAGGTGGGATTGTGGTCAAGCACTGGCCTATAATAAGTTAAAAAACGTAAGCATAAGCTGAGTCACCTCCGATTGCTTAAATTTAATTAAGATAAAGTACTTAGTTTATAATATAAACATATATTTTTAATGTGGCAATAAAATGATATTTATTATTTATTTACTTTAATTTCATTTCTGTCTTTTAACGTTTCAAACACCTACTTCATATTTCTATCTCTGCATCATCACCCAAAGGTTGACTGGTAGAGAATGCCTCAGGCATTAAGTTCACTTAGACATAATATTGTATGAAGCTGAAATAAATAAATAATACGAATTATATAATTTATTTCTATAAACATAATAAATATATTATGTTTTAATCATAGACACGGAGAGGTTTTATTTCAATTAATAAAATGTGTCAAACTGCATACTAAGTTTAAGTTATGACAACAGCAACACTGGCACAAACCAAGCCAAGCAAAAAGACTTTTGGCGGGAACTCCAAACGTGGCGGTCGATTTAATTATTATTACTGTTTTTCGTTAAAATATCCTGTGTAAATATTACCAAAACTTATTTTAGTCAGTGTAAATAATTGTATATTTTGTTAATTATTAAAATGAGTGAACCGGAGGACCCAGAACCCCGAAACGATCCAAAGTTGTTCGTACGAAGAAGGTACGAAGGAATGTGGACCTGAAGTAAGCGGCGGTGAGAATGACTTTATTCCATTTTTTTAAGCGAGGTTATCGGAGACTTTATCCTGAACATTGTACAAATACGGACTTCAAAGTTTTTGTTGAAAGCCAGGACCAACAGGTTAAACTTGGAAATAAAAGCCCAGTTTATTTAAATTGCTATTTGGTAGCTTTACATAGAGTCAATGCAAATAATTTCATCACAAATACAGACTTTTTAACAAAGCACAACTCGAAGGCGCATATTCCTGCAGCGCAGATAGAAAAAACTTGAATCATTCGATATGTGATATGTGCCTACCAACATTTCGAACAAGAATTTATATACAAAACTGTCTTCGATCTATGAAATTATTTCAGTGAGAAGATTCACGAAAAAAGTCGGTCAAAGTACTGTAGGTCTCGAGGCTGTCAGTTTAACTTTCTTATCAAATGTTCTGCCCGACAACATCCAATATTACCTATTTTCGTTCGGGGTGTTTGAATATGTCCCGCCGTTGCAGCAATGCTATCGGTGCTTCAAGTTCAACCACCCTGCGAAAATTTGTAATGGTAAACAACGTTGCTCGATATGTGCTGGGGAGCATAATTTCAGAGACTGCTATAAAAAAGAGAACCTGTGTTGTGTCAATTACAGTGGCCCTGGCTACTTCCAAATCTTGCCCAATAAAAATGAATTACTTGAAAAAAACGGTAAAATTACTTATGCCTCTGTGGTTAATACAATTAAGTCATCTGATTTTCCATCTTTACCTGCACAGTCAAGCAGCATTGTTAAGACCCTACCATCAATAAGCCAAAATGTAGGTAAAAAATTAAATAAAATGTAAAAATTGTAAATAATGTAAATAAAACAGAGCCTGAACCCAACTTGAACTAAAACTCAACTTAAGGCTCAAATTGTAAACAATAAGAATATTCTGATGGCAATGGTCCAAACTTTAGTTGAATTGGGTAATAAAACAGATAATGAACCTGTGACTACACTGTTCAATAAAGACTTACTTTTAAAAAATCTGTCATATTAATGGACAGTACAGTACAGAACATACAGTAGTTATGTATAGCTCAGTACAATATTCAAAGTATACATAGGAAAAAACCCTTATTGTCTAAATTTTTAGATGAGCAAAATGTTGATATCTGTCTACCCAATGAAACTTGGCTGAAAGATACTCAGCATTTTAAAATTTCGGGATGTAATTCCCACTATCATAACGCCCAAAATGAGCACGGTGGAGTAGCAATTTTGATCAAATCGTATTTTAAATATAATATTATTCAAACCAGATTTTACCAAGACATTCAGACTTTGGCATCATCGTTATATGTAAGTGGTAAACAATTAACGATTTTATGTGCATACTGCCCTCCCTCGAATAGTAACTTCAGAATAAGTAAACTGGGTGATATAACTAGAGAATTGCCTAAACCAATATATGTGGCTGGAGATTTCAACGCTCACCATGTGGCATTTGGGTGTATGACCACGAAAAGTCGGGGTCAACAGTTATACGATCTAATTGATGAGTTTGATCTATGTATCCTTAACAATGGTAGCTTCACTACTATTAATTATCCTAACCGAAATCCATCGGCTAGTAATGTCAGCTTTTGTAGTGCTCCAATCACTCCACTATGCGAATGGTGGGTGCATGATGATTGTATGAGGAGCTATCATTTTCCTACGCTTACTCGTGTTTTATTGTCCGTTGATAGATACCAAATTAATCATCCCATCAAAAAAATTCTTATATAATAAGACAGACTGGACGAAAAACAACGAGCTCTCTATAACTACTTTTTCTAATTTTAAAGTTAAGAATGAGAATCTATTACAGTCATATGACGAATTTATCGAAAGGCTTGATACACTTAAGAAGGATATTGTGTCATAGTTTGTCAAAGCAAAGAACTATCGTTGCAAACCTCCAGCACCTTGAAGGAGTGACACATGTGAACAGAGTGTTATTAAAATTTATGAAGCTTTAAAACTGTACAGAAGGGATCCAACCATTGATAATTACATTAATTACAAAAGACTTAATGCTGTTAAGAAAAAGACTATTTCGGAACATAAACACAATGGTTGGGCGAACATCTGTAATACTTTTAACAGAACTACACCTGTTAGTACTATTTGGAAATACATAAAGTTATTTAAACGAATAAAATGCAATAATAGAACATATAGAGACGAATTTGTTGTCCCTCTCTTAGAAAAATTTTCTCAAAATGGATGTAGGGTTATTGATAATCTAGAAAGTTATTTTCAAATTAATAATAGCCTTCAGAAGTCCAGTTTCCTCATAGAACCCTTTACTTGGAGTGAGTTTTGTACAAGTTTACAATCCAGACGAAACAGAACCCCTGGTTTAGATGATTGTCCATACATTTTGATCAAAAACCTAAATCAGTCCGTTCAAAAGAAACTATTAGCTAATCTTAATGCTTTTTGGCACTTAAAAAAAAACCTGAATCTTGGAAAACACAGTGTGTAATCCCTCTACTTAAGCTTGACAAGCCACCTGAAGATCCTAACTCATATCGTCCCATATCATTGTCATCTTGTATTGGAAAGCTTAATGAAAACATGATAAAGATGCGTTTTGAGTATTATGTAGAGGCGAACAACATCATTCCACGTGTTCAATATGGCTTCCGGAGAGGGAGAAGCTGTGTTGACAGCTTGATCTCTCTCTTATCATATCTGAAATATGCCAATAATAATAATAAGTCCAGTGTTTGTGTTTTTCTGGATGTTCAAGGTGCGTTTGATAATATTGACCCTGGTATTTTGGTTCAAGTTCTTTCTGACACTGGTATACCAGGCATATTTTGCCATTGGTTATTTCTTTTTTTAACAGATAGAACTTTGTATATAAGGCATACTAATATTCTCCATGATCCCAGAAAGGTCTCTAAAGGTACAATGCAAGGGGCTACATTATCTCCATTGCTGTACAATATATATATACTAGTCAAATTCTTAATTTTGTGAATACAGAAGGTGTAAATATTTTACAATTTGCGGATGATCTTGTAATATATTGTACAAACAATAATGTAGATACAGCTGTAAATAGTATAAATAAAGCTTTAGATCAATTGTAAATATATTATAATGACAAGTTGGCTCTACAGATTAACCCCAACAAAAGCAAGGCAATGATTTTTAGTAAAGATTTTCCCTCTTAAGGCATACTCTACAATAATCATCCAATTTCAGTTGTACCTAACGTTAATTCTTGGGTGTTGTCATTGATAACAAATTTTATTTTGCTTTACACATCAATCACATTATAAGTAACTCTCTTAAGAGCTTAAATATTATAAGATGTTTAGCTGGTGTGACTTGGGGTGCAGACCCCAAAGTTTTAAGTATGCTATATATATCTATAGTCAGAAGCCACTTCGACTACAGTTGTTTAGCCTACTCAAATAGTAGTTGTGTAAAAAAACTAGACATAATTAAAAAAAAAAGCTCTGCGAATTATTTCTGGGGCTATGTGTTCAACTCCCATACGAGCTATGGAAGTTGAAACCAAAATAATGCCACTGTGTCTTAGAAGACTTCTGCTAATAGAGAAATATTTACTAAATCTGTTATCTGGTAATGATAATGTTCTCAAAAAAATAGTACCTTTTCCTGTACAATGCTCGGCCCAGCAGACTTCGGGAGGTGAGCTTTTACGAGGTTATTTCCCAGTTCTGCCTCTCATTGTACGGCAAATGAATGAAGATTTTAAAAATGTAATTAAACAATCAAAGTGGACACGTTACTCATACCCATATTCTGTATTGTGCTTGGGACCAATATTGTTACTAAAATTTTTTTAATAATTGTGAATTAAGTATTAAGTTTTCTTTCCGACAATAACTACTATACTTTATATACGGTAGCAAAAGTGAGCTCTTTGTGCGCAGTGCTGTTTATGATCCCCAATCCAAGTTTGGTCAAAGATTTCTTCTGGATCCTAAATGTCGTGTTTTCACTGCAGAGGTATATGCGGCCCTCGAGGCCCTGAAGAGAATCGCACGTATAAATAGTTTTAATAATTTTTTAATTTTAACAGACAGTTTAAGTATCGTCCAAAGTTTAACCAATCTCAGATTTGACTTAAAAAAAAAAACTATATTTTGTATAATATTAAAAAATTGTTATTTAGTGATGCACAAAAGGGTATACACGTCTCTTTCATGTGGATTCCATCACATAGGGGCATAACAGGAAATGAGATAGTAGACAAAATTGCACGTGATGGAACCAACATGTTGGATGTTAGCTCTATAGTAAAATTACCTTTGACCGACTGTTATCAATCTATTGACAACCAGATCAATAGTTTATGGGTCGAATTTTGGAAACAAGACCAAGAACAGAAGGGTAAATGGTATGGAAATGTTCAAGAAAACCTAGCAGTAGCACCATGGTATAACAAACTGAAAATGGCCAGTCGGGACTTTATTACGACTATAAACAGATTACGTTTTGATCACTCCACCGTCCCGGCCCACCTGGCTCGGTTGGGCGTAGTGTAGAGCAGCTACTGCACCTTCTGCAATAATTCTGTTGGTGATATCGAACATTTCATATTTATGTGTGAGTGCTTTTCATTTGACAGATTGATTCTTGTCAGTGAAATTAGTGACATAGTGCAAAATCAAGTGACAGTGCAAGATCCCTCCCGCCGCCTGAGTGATATATTAAAAGATAGATCCTATTACGTGCCTCTATTTAAATTCATCAAAAATACAGTGAGGAAATTATAATAAACCGAATAAAAATACACAAGACTTGGCCTAAAGGTCTTGATACCAGGCCATAAACTCCAAAAAAAAAAAGCCAAGCAAAACAACAACAAACAAAAATGACTGATGGCGGATAGCTAACTTGCTCTTGCGGTTCCTTTCCTGCTTAATTTTGTTGTAAAGTTTATAGCTTTATATTAACTTATTTCTTACATTATTAACGTTGAGTTGAACATCCCGTTCGTCCGTTATAGTGTTTACAGTGATACAGGGACTCAAAAACAAGTGCTGTGCTTTGTGCTAAAGAGACAGAGACTTAATTTTATCTTTCACCATGAAAGAAAACGGAAGGAAATGTTACAAGTGTGGATATTCCCCTGCTCCCTTGCATCGTTTTCCTAAGCCTGGGAGAACAAATATCATGCGGTACGTATGCTAAATAACCTTTTGATTACTGATAAAAACAGTTTCAAAATATTAAGTTTTAACACTGAATTAGAAAGTAGACAGAAATAGGCATACAATTGTTATGAGTCTCATCGGCTATAAAAACCAAGATACACATTCAGAAATTCAAAAACTTGTGCAAATAAATCTTAATATATAAGAGAAATTTTGCAGAACAGCATAAGTTATATCACAGAAATCGTAACATAATATGCTTATATTAATGTAATTAATATTATTAGGTAGTGATGTATTGGTACACAGAAATAACTTGTGGCATAATATTGATATATGTTTGCAATATAATTGCATTGTTTGAAAAGAACAATCTCTCATTCTGCACTCTTCTTTCAATCATGTTTTTAGCACTTCATTATATTATTTAATTGTATTTTTTCAGGTGTGAGCTATGGGCGAAGTACTGTTTTCCTGATGACTCATGGTGGTTACCAGAATTTCAAAATGAGCTTCATTCTAGACATTTAATGTTATGCACTAAACATTTTAAGAGATCATCATTCCTCGACAATTTTGGAAAGAGGCTAATCAGATCTGCAGCACCAGATGAGGAATGTGATAAGGTTAGTTAATCTTTCTGTTGTTACAGGCTACATTTTCTTCCTTTGTGTGGTTTTCATACTACAGTGAAAAGATTGTCTAGTTTACATTGGTGGTAACAGATGGATTGGTGATTTTCAGGGATATGCTATGTAACTTCCCATTACTTCTTAATCATGACAAAAAATAAAAGATAGATATAAAAAGTTTTAAAAAAATATGTTATTTTTTCATTAAATTGGTCAAAAAGCAAGAAAAAAAGCTGGTTCACTAGCTGTTCGAAGTAAAGTTGGTAATCTGGCTGAGCCTATTGAATTGTGAACATCCAACATTACTATAACAAAGGATAAGAAAGTTATGTTTAAATGAAAACACTTTCCTATAATTTCAACTTGTGCTGTGACCATTCATAAAGTCACAAGGTGGGAGTTTTGATCAAATTGTTTATGAGTATGAGAATACACACCCACATGAACTTGTGTTTGTTGCACTCTCTCATATAACAAATATCGAAGGGTTATTCATCATTACACCTAGAGATGATGAAACTAAATTTCATATTCATTATAATCGATCAAGTGGCATCAACCAAATCTTTGTTATAAGAGTTCAAGAGGCTGTCGTTGAATAAACTACAAACAAAAGCGTAAACTGTCATTGATTTTATAGATATGAAAAAAGGCATAACATTGTAGTCTCAATGTCCAAAGCTTTCGGAAACATTCTATTGATTTAAATGACTCCATTACATGTATAAGCAACATTTTATTACTTTCTGAGATGTGGTTAAACAATGAAGAGGTTATAACTAGAGAATATAACTATTTTCAATTGTAATACTCACTTTAAGCATGATTCTGTTTGTTTAGGCGGAGTTATACCAAAACAAAAGTGATAGGTTAATATTGTGACATCGCACACGGATGTAATCATGAACAATATTCGTAACTTGAGCGTAAGATGTACAAATGTTGCAAATATATGTGCAGTAGATTGTGTGTGTTGCACAATGGTACATCATTAATCATGACAGTCATCTATGTCTCACCAAATCAGAAAATAATCCATATTCAAGAATTCATTCATCGACCACTGTTAGAGTATTCAAAAAGTATATCTGAAATGCTTAGCAAATACAACAATAATTTACATAATCTTCCACTTATTTTAGCTGGTGATTTCAACATCAACTTTTCTTATAAAAACTCAGAACCACTTTTGGAATGTCTTTCATATATATTTCATTTTAAAATTAATAATGATCCAGCAAAATCTATGACAAGATACAACACCACTATTGATGCCATTGTTTTGAGATGCTTAGATAAAATTGAATCTCAAACATAGGTTTCCTACTGTAGTTACCACAAACCAATTATTACTACGATTGAAAGTACAGATGGAGAATGTACTGATGAAGTTTATAATGAATTGGATGGATTGAATGATGTTCAATAAAATGTTTATTGTCCAACTCGACAAAATATATTAATTACGAAATTTCTGACCATTCCTTCAATTCATTAGTTATTTCTGCATTTCATTTAATTGCTCTCAGACGCTAGTGATTAATATATTTGTATTTGTCAATCAATAATATAATATGTTTATCAATAATCTATACAAATAAATAAAATTGAAGTGTCTATTTGTAATATCAAAGTAACAGCTTTTTACTAAATGCAAATGAAAGTCTTTACAAGAGCAAATGAAAACACAATTTTTAAAATTTTTGTCTGTTTGTTTGTTCTGGCTAATCTCTGAAACGGCTGGACCGATTTTGACGGGACTTTTACTGACAGATAGCTGATGTTATAAGAAGTAACTTAGGCCACTTATGTTTTAGAAAAAGAATTAGGATGCTGCGCCACATAATTAAAATCCTAAATTACATGCGGGCGAAGTTGCGGGTAACAGCTAGTAATATACTACGAAAGGAACTTTGTTCCAAACGAGTGTTCCACAACAGTCACACATATTTATATAAACAAATTGAAAGTTTAAATTTAACTTTGAAACTTTATTTAATAATTATTTACTGAATACTAGAGATCGGAAGGGTAGTAATTAATATAAAATTAGGAAACTTAAAGTGTTGCAAGTAAAATATACAAATAATGATTAATACATACATAATACAGGTAAATATTCATCATCATCATTACAGCCCTTCACAAGTCCACTGCTGCACGGTCAAGCCAGCACGGCCCTGAGCCACCTGCATGTCTTACCAGGTCGCCACTCCATCTAGTGGGGGGACGCCTTCCACTTCGTCCGCCGGTACGAGGCCGCCACTCGGAGAGCCTTTTTTATACATCCGTTGTCGGTTATTGCCACTTCAGCTTAATCATCCGTTGGGCTATATCGGTCACTCTGTTTCTACTGTGGATATCCTTATCTCTAAGTTTATCACGCTGAGAAACTCCGAGCATAGCCCTCTCCATAGCTCGCTGCGCGACCTTGAGCTTCCTCATCCGGCCAGCAGTGAAGGACCACGTCTCAGTTCAATAAGTCATCACTGGCAACACGCACTGGTTGTACAGTCTCATTTTGAAGTTTTGAGGTCAGTTTAATCCTCTGAAGACACAAGTTTGCGCGTTTATCACTAAAAAGAACCCCTTTGTCGTATCTCCTCAGTTTCAAGGCACTCCCCTTGTTGCCTCAGCCAGTATCGGAATCCTCGGCGTCGACATATCGAGTGACGTGCAGTTTCGTGGTCACTTGGAAGAGAAGGCCAAATTGGCCTCTAAAAAGCTTGGGGTGCTCAGCAGAGCGGGACAGTATTTCATGCCAGCACAACGCCTGCAACTTTACAAGGCGTAGGTTCGGCCTCACATGGAATACCGTTCCCATCTCTGGGCTGGTCCCCAGTGCCAGCTCCTTCCACTTGACCGCATCCAGCGCAGAACGGCTCGAATCGTCGACGACCGAGTCCTTTCCGATCGGCTCGATTCATTGGCGCTGCGAAGAGATGTTGCATCTCTTTGCATTTTCTTTTGCATTTACCACGGGGAGTGCTCTGAGGAATTGTTCGGATTAATCCCAGCCACCTAATTTCACGAACGCACATCGCGGCAGAACTCTTGATACCATCCGCACCATCTGGATGATTGGCGGTCCACTACTGTGCGATTTAGAAGATGTTTTCTTCCTCGCACAACTTTCTTGTGGAATAGTTTACCACCAGCGATTTTTCCGTACCGATACGACTTAGGGACCTTCAAGAAAAGAGCCTACTCCTTTTTAAAAGGCCGGCAACGCATCAACAATTCCCGTGGTGTTGCGGTTGTTCATGGGCGGCGGTAGTCACTTACCATCAGGTGAGCCGCATGCTCTTTTTCCCCCTCTCCTATAAAAAAAAGGTATACCTGACCTAAGATGTTCTTAAAAGTATAGATACGTCATACTGGCTCTAAAAAGGCAATAGGAAAGTCAGGTAATTGCCCGACTCGCATTCAGTCGGGCACGCTCTCGTGTCGCGGCTATACCTTCGCTACAGTGCGTAAATCTTCTAGTTATTCGTGGCAAAAATGCCTTCCTATGTTTTTAGGTTGTGCACAAATTATACGGCAACTGTTAGAGATAAGAAAGACGTCTCATTAATATTTTGAATATAGATGTTTTGTTCATAATTGGTTTTATTATTTTAACACTAACCGCTAGTGTAAGCTTTGACGCAGCTAGTGTGTTCATTTTCCATATCGGTATGTCACGCGCTCGCGCCAATGAGCGCTCGGCAGCAATCAATAGGCAACTAATAATGTATATTCATCTTTTTCTAACGACAGGTATGCCTTATCATTTGTCTCTTTTTGTTAGCGCAACGTGTCATTATAAATAGCTGTACATAGATATAGTACTACCTGCGACACTTTAAAATACAATAATGTTAGTGTGTAACCTGTCTAATCTTTTTTAATACGTCTTTGTACCTGACGAGAAGATGTGCCGTAATTTCCCGAACGCTGCCCAACCGAGTTGAATCCGTCGATTGACCTCTCTCTAAACATACTCGTCAGCAACTTCGAGCTTAGTGCTCCCAACAACTACCGGCTATATGTGTGCAACTATAGGTGTGACATGGACATTAAACATGATCTTTGTTTTGTCCATGTTCATCTTAAAACCTATCCGTTGGGAAACACTATTGAGGTCATTGAGCATAGTGCTTAGGTCCTCCAGCGATTCTGCCATAAGGACTATATCGTCGGCAAATCGAAGGTGAGTGATGTACTCGCCATTGATGTTAATACCGTATCCTTTCCAGTCCAGAAGCTTGAAAACGTCTTCCAATGCAACGGTGAAGAGTTTCGGGGATATAATGTCACCCTGTCTTACACCTCTCTGCAATTGGATAGGTTTCGTACTCTGGTTCTGTACTCGGATAGCCATCGTAGCCCTTCTGTACAAGCACTTCAGCACTTCGATATACCGACAGTCAACTTGGCACCGCTGAAGGGACTGCAGCATCGCCCAAATTTTGACGGAATCAAAGGCTTTCTCATAGTCCACATACGCAAAGCAAAGTGGCAGATTATACTCCTCTGTCTTCTGTACTATTTGCCGAAGGGTATGTATGTGGTCTATGGTGCTGAAGCCTTTTCGGAAACCGGCTTGTTCGGGAGGCTGGAAGTCGTCAAGTCTGCGCGCGCGACGATTCGTAATGACTCTAAAACAGCACGTAGACGCGGCTTAAAAGGGAAATCAGTCTGTAGTTCGTCAAGAGAGCGTTGTCACCTTTCTTGAAGAACAAGACCACCGCACTTCTGCTCCACGCCTCCGGTGTTATGCCACCATGGAGGACGGAATTAAAGAGCTTCTGAAAGACTTCAAGTACCGGTTTTCCACCCGCTTTCAGAAGCTCCGCTGTAATTCCATCCTCGCCTGGGGCTGGAGAGCCATTCTAATCTCGCTCAGACTGACGTCCGGGATATCATCGGGATAGTGTCGAAAAAAGCCAATCTACAGTTCAAGTTATATCCAATATACAACTGAAAATACCTACAACTGCAAGTCTGATATCTCAGACAGAACCTTTACAAAGAATCATTAAAAATTAAAAATTTTGTACAACCGACTTTAATATAAAGTATTAAGAATAACTCGAAAAGTATTGGTCAGACTTTGATCAAATTTATATGAGATCACACGAGAAGCACCAGCTTTCAAATTAAAAAGAATTATCCAAATCGGTTCATTCAGAAAAAAATTATGAGGTAACACACATTAAAAAAACATACAGCCGAATTGAGTACCTCCTCCTTTTTGAAGTCGATAGATAAGAAACGGACATGCAAAGGCTTGACAGCTCAAACTCCTCGAGAACGCAAAGTTTCAGAAGAATTACGGTATTCTCAACACAAATGACGACGTTTATATAGAAAAACAATAACAATACATAAGGATTTAGAGCGAAAAAATACACCCATCACGAGTGAGCATCCTGATGACGAGGCCATCTTTTTCATGTTCAAATTATATACCTATTTAAGCAATGTAAAACTGTTGTCAATTTTAACTAAAAATAACGTTACATCATCATCATCATCATCATCATCATCATCAGCCTAATTATTGACCCACTGCTAGAACACAGGGTTCCCCTTACATGGAGAGGGTTTGAGCAGTAGTCCACCATGCGTCCCAATGCCGATTGGTGGACGGAGTACTAGGTAATCAGTACTTCTTTTAGATTCCATTAATCGCCTTTTACGATGACTCCTACAGGTAGACATGAGGTGATGCTATGCATCCGGCATTACAGAGCACGTAATAGTAATAAAGTACAAGTAGGTAGTAGTAGTAGGTAATATCTTTAATCTACCTCACATCGAACAATAATGTTCTTATTATCAGCAAATTACTAATACATTGCATGCACAACTCGGTGTAATCTACTATCAACTAATATTAAAGGATTCATTTTGTTTTCTCACAACACCTAACCCTATAGTAGGAGCGGCCTTAACAAAGACGTGTAACGGGCTAAGTGATACAGACTTGTAAACGTAAGCTGCATATTTTTATTTATTACACGCGCCGTAACAATCGCTAGAGTATTTTAACGAAGGTCGCATCCGACGTTGTAACTAGGTTTAAACTCGCCAGTTTGCTATCAGAGAGTGATTCTTCTGTACTTGTACTATCATTTCTTCTGTGATCGTGTTTAAAAATTTACGTAATTCATAGTCCCAAGAGCGGAAAAAGATCGCCGCTACTGCTGCAAACGGCGAGCAGAACACTTACCAACCGAAAGTGTTCTGGTTCAACACGATGGATTCATTCATTAGTCTCCTTTTATTTGGACAAGACCCGAGAACGTCGGTACGTTTTCGTGATAATGCCTCGCTCAATCGTCGTCATTGCAAACCGATCAAGCGCGACCTTGACTTAGTATCGGTCAAATTGGCGTAACCTTCAATGTTTACATAACCTGTACCCTTAACACTAATGTAATTTTTACTTACAGGAAATGGACAACCTAACTACTTCGATCGCGGACGATCAATCTAATGCGTTCATAAAGAAGGAACCGGAGGCGGAGGTGAGGGTGCAAATGACTGATCCAGAAGACATGGCCATCCCCGATACTAGCAACTCGAGGGAGAATTTTTCTAGCAGCGATTACGAACAATCCCTTGAATGTGAACTTCCGAAGCCTTTGGCTTTTAATGAATTTGCGAAAAAGAGGAAATTGGAGGACTTCCATAATGAGTCTCTAGCTGTTACGTTGAGAGATATAAATATTCAATTACATGTGTTGACAAATCAGCTAGACGACTGTTTCGACAACTTCGGTAAGTATATATCGTCAATGCTGAGAAGTATGCCAATGCAGAACGCCCTGGAGTTGCAGCCGAAGATCGTAGCCTTAATCACCTCAGTTGGAGTTAGTAATAATGAATGTCGGATCAGCCAGTCTCATGAGAACTGTAGCTAAGGACAACACATTTTACCTTCACATTTATCATTTTTATATAGTTACGAATTGTTAAATTGTGTTTAAAATATTGTTGATATTATCTGTAGTTTTTTTACCTACTGATATTATCTGTTAACGGAATATTTACACACTGTAGACTTTCGGCCGAGAGCTTAGTCACGTTGGGGTGATAGTGCGCACACTGGGCCAATTAAACAGTCGCGTTAGTGGTGAGTGCGCACACTAGCCATTAGTTGGCCGATCGTTTGCGAAAAAAATGTGGTAACTAAGCAGTTCTTGGAGTGAGTAGTTGCGTAATGAAACCTAAAACATTGTCCAAAAATGTTATTACCATTATACATCGAAGGAGACGGATCAAGAAGCGAAACCGAGGATACTGGGTGCATCCTATGTACAGTGACAGAATATCTAATCCTTATAATATGCGCACTTGCATACATCTTAATACTGATTAACCCTAGAAAGATAATCATATTGAGTAATACGTAAAAGATAATCATACGTAAAACTGACTCCTCAATTTTGAGTGGATCTTAAATGAAAAGTTTTGTACTGATTCGAGTAAAACAAAAAGTATTAGTTTTCTACTACCGTAATCAATTAGAAATAGTAACATTTACTTATTTATATTTTTTCATTTTATAATAAAAAACAAAAATTACAAACTTCTCAATAATCAATAAAACGTAGGAGCTTCTTTTTAGTTCTAAAGTATTTTCATAATCTTATAATAAATCAGTATTTTTATATTATATTCGAAGTAATAAAAAACCAAAATTAAACAATAACATGAAAATTGTATATTAAAATCAGTCAAAACAGTTCAGGAGGTCTACTCTAATTCAACGAAAAACGAAATTTCGATCGAAATTTCGCTCAATTCCTACCATGGTTCCATTCGATTCGAAACTTCGTTGAAACGAAATTAGTTTGACGTTTAAATTCTCTAAGCCTAAAAAAGCCTCTAAATTGAAGTTTGACAGATACTTGTTCGTAATTTTAACCTCAAATTGACGAAACCAAAAGTGTTAACTTTTTATTTTCGTTTTGGTCGATTTTGTTAAAAATTTAACTAAAATGGCTACGAGACAGCTTTTAATCGCGGCTGCTTTACGTGAAGAACGATTGGAGCGTAGAAGGAACCGGCGCCGCCTGCGTAATCAATTAAATATTTCAAATATTCCCGATCTAGAGTTTGTCGGAAATTACAGACTCAGTCGGGAATTATTCGAGGAGTTGTGCCAGGACATAGTGCCTTTATTGCCTCCAAAGGGAAGACGACATGGAATCGAGCCCACACTTAAAGTAAGTTTAAATTGTTTAAACACTCCCTTCTCTTTAATTTTTCATTTTACTGTTCATAAGCCTCAATCTGTGTTAATGTATTTCAGATACTTACTGCTTTGAACTTTTATGCCCGAGGAAGTTACCAGGGGTCAGTGGGACAAAATATGGATGGGCCCATGGCACAACAGACAGTGTCCCGTTGTTTACAAGAGGTAACAACTGCACTTAATGCACCCCACATACTAAGGAAGCACATAAGATTCCCACAAAATAGGAATGAAAGGAATCTTATTAAGCAGAAGTAAGTACTTACCTTCCTATCTAGTATTGACCGTTAAACTTATTAACATGTGAAATACCTAGTAATTAAAATATTATTCTGTTATTTTAAATGAACAATTTACATAAAAAGTGTGCCAAGACTAGGCAAATAAGTCATGCAAAAACAAATATAATTTTATTGTACAATTTACTATTCTATAATAATATTGTATCCTTATTGTAGATTTTATGATAAATATGGGCTACCCGCTGTGGTGGGGTGCATCGATTGTTCACATGTAGCCATAGTGAGGCCTTCGGAGCACGAGGAACGATATTTTAATCGAAAACATTTTCATTTGATTAATACTCAAGTTGTAAGTTTATGTACAATATTTTAATGTTTTTATTATGACATTCACTATTTTATTACTTACATTTTATCCTATGTTACATTGATGGAAATTCTTTTTCAGATATGTGACAGTGATTTATTAATTACAAATGTTGATGCTTCATATGGTGGAGCAACTCACGACGCTTATATTTGGAGGGAATGTGAGATAAGAAACCACTTGGAGGGTCTCCAGGATGAAACAGTTTATCTATTAGGCATGTCTTGATTTATAGTTTTGATATTCATTATGTGTAAGTAATGTGATGATGCAATTTACACTAATATTATATTTTTAAATTTTTAGGTGATTCTGGTTATGCTCTAAGGGAGCATATGATGACACCTGTAGATAATGCTGTTGAGAACTCTCCAGAGGGAAGGTACAATTACCTCCAAAAACGTGTACGCTGCACCATAGAACGCACATTTGGTGTATTGAAGGGTCGATGGAGATGTCTTTTGGCAGCTAGGGAACTCCATTACTGCCCAGAAACAGCAGGTAAAATTATATTAGCCTGCTGTGTTTTACACAACATGTGTATAAGGGCTGGTATTGAAGGTCCCGAGTTGACTGAAGAGGAACACCAATCGGAGAGAACCAGGCAGGTTCCCTTTGAAACAGCCGCATCTTCTACTCAAGCTCTACAGGCAGGTCGAAGGGCAAGGAATTCATTAATACAAATGTTAGAAAGGAACCGGTAAGATAAACTCAAACCAAACAATTGTGCAAGTAGATTAAAATAAACTCAATTAAAAACTTTTTTTTGTTTTAGGAGATAATCATCATCATCATCATATCAGCCACATTTAAGCCGTTTATTTGTGATTAAGTAACAATCAAAATCCATACTTTCTCATTTATAATATTATAGGATTAGGAATTAATATTACTGAAATATAAAATATAAATAAAACATACACTTCTTATCTTGTTATAATTGTAAGCAATGCGTTTTTTTAATGTTAACTTTTATGTCTAATGAATTTAGTTAATATTGCATATTGTACAACATTATCTATTTAGGTATGAATTTTCGAGTAGGTACCTAGTAGACAGTGATTTCTCAACTAGTTGAAAGTTATTTGCTCTTACCTTTCCGATGTGTAGATAATTAATTTCAATACCTGCCCATTGTATGTAAACTTTTGTTAATTTTTGTGATGTAAAATTACATTACCTTAAAGGTCATTTTACAAATTTGATGACTCTGTATGAAATATACAAGGAGAAAAAAATCAGCCCTTAACGAGTTTCTTGCCGGTTCTTCTCGTTACAAGGTCTCCCGCTTAGGGTTTGAGAACCGATGGCGTAGCTTCTTTGACATTCACAAGTGCTTGTAACAGCCTAGATTAAAATATTTTTAGGCATAAAATTAGTTCTGTTTTATTTTTTCACCTACTTATCGTTTATCCTACCTACCTAGATGTTCATAAAATGGCAACAAATATTTACTTAATCCTTACCTATGACATTGCAGATATTTTGTCACATACAGAGAAAATAATAACTTCTATGATTTTAAATACTTAACAGTATCTTTATATTATATCGAATTATGGTCATGATAATCAACTCTCAGTAATAATAAAGTTCTTATTTTAGCTTTCTTAATCTGAAAGTACAAATAGTCTCAAAAATAGTAAAAAGAAACAATAGTATTCAAAAATAAATTTATTTAAAACCTAACGCCTATTTTGCCTTAAAAACTCTAAATAATCTCGCCCTATGTCACGCAACTCTTCCAAGGCAGCCCTGATGCCTGCGAGCTCGGTGTTCCTCACTGTCTCTCTCTCTGCACGTCCATCTTCATACTGGTACAACCTGCTTCTGACATCGGAGCCAGCAGCAGATCGTATTCTTCTGGGACGTGCAGATTGTGAGGCTGCAAAACAACATTCCAATATGTTACATTGCAGTAAATACTTAATCAATAAGTATATTTTTTGTGACAAACAATATTTTTCTTGTAATTTTAATCTCGACTGTAGTTTAGTGGTAAGACCTTCATGTATCAAATACATCCATACATACCTTCTTGTGTATCAATTTCGATCGAAATTTCGTTTTTCGTTGAATTAGAGTAGACCTGCTGGCTTTCTTTGCTTGGGTCGGCGTACTCCTGAACTTCTACATGCAAGTCCAGGCTCTGCTGCTGCAGTTGGCTTCCTTGACTGTAGGTTGATGGTCTGGATTCATTCGTCTGAAATGAATATAAAAGATTGAATGCTTAATGTTTAAGTGAAGTATTAATTTTTAATGTCTACCACAATACAAATTGTATTGTATTTTTACCTGATGGGTTAAAAAAAGTAGCATACTCACATAGAAAAATAATTTTGTAAATAAAAATCATATATCATTAAGATAAATATTTGAACATATCAAAGTTTAGAAATAGGGAAACCAAAGAATGATGAGGTACTTACTTCAGTGAAAGCTGGCACTCTGGCTCCAATTTGGCGGTCACCGAACCCATCTCCCATTATGGATAAGACTTTTAATTCCGAATGGGAGAGTTGGGGTGCCACTGATGGACCACCTCCAGTCATTGAAGCCGACCTCCGGGAATCAGCAGCGGCTTTTTTGGCCAGATGTTTTCTATCAAACCATACCTATCCAAAATAAAAGTAAATATTAAATCTTTGTCACTCACTTTTCACTGATAAATAGCTTAAGCATTTAATTATATTACTACGAATTACCTTTTGCCACTGCTGAACTGTCTTTATGCAACCGCCCATGGAATTGAGCGTATTGCACAATTCATCCCACAGCCTCTTCGCCTGGACTTTTCCTTCTAGACTCCTCAATCTCCCGCGAGCAAGATCCCTATGCTCGTCCAGGAAATTGAGGAGTGCATCAATTTGTTCAGGAGTAGCCGAACCCGTATGTGGAGCCATTATTTTACACTGAAAGATGAGATGAAAATAAATTATAGGTACCTATTATTACAAAAAAATATGTTATGGAAGTATTATAAGTGCAAAACAATTAACATTACTTACACTCTTTCTGAATATAAAACCAAATTAAACCAAATAGAAGTCTTTGTGGACCAAAGGACGCCCATATGAAGACTGCGACTTGAAATTGAAACTTTGTCAGGGAATGTGTATCGCGTTTGCAAAGTAGGCAAAGAAAAAAACAAAACATATTAATAACTCTTCACTTGAGCACACAGGAAAGAATCTCTACCTACGTCTTACACTTGAGCTTGAGAAACAAACTTAAAAATTCAAACTTTCAAAGAATGCAAACAAAAAATCCACAAGTGATGACTGACAGCATTGTGATAATACGGATAAGTTTGGTTGTTATACGATACTATAAACACCGTTTGTTATTATTGTACACCTTAACTTAGTCGGTTAACGGTCATTGAAAGGGTTATTTTAGTGTCACTGTGATTTTCTTCGAAAACTTGTATATTTATTGCTTGTGTAAGATTTTTTGGAATAATATGCATAAAAAACCACGATTATTTTAATAAATTCGTAAAATACATAACATTGTTCGTTCCATTCGTTCACGAAAATTGTCTTTGGACTCGAACTTTGCGTGCGCGTCCGAAAATGATATAGAGTAGGGTCAGATACGAAACTTCGTTTAAATTTCGTTCGTTAACGAAGTTTCGTTTCGGAGAAAGAGAGTAGGCCCTCAGGCATATGATGATATGAACGTTATGCTGTCGGCAAATAATAGCTTTACATTATTTGCATTTGGAATTTACTTTTCTTTTTATTTTAGTTTTAGTGGGGCAATATTTACAGTAGCAACGTTTTTTGGCTACTGGTTCTATTGTATCCTCTTCTGTTGTACCTTGGGCACTCATTGGCAACAAATTATTTGTAATAGTGTCCCGCAAATATATTTTCAAAGTAGGTGCATCCAACCGCTTTCTCATGAACGGCGATGTTAGGGACGTGCTTAGGTTTTTCATAAACTTTTTGCGATTTAATGCTTTCTCACCTTTGGTAACAACATTGTGAGTGTATATAATATACGCATTTATACCGTCGAACTCGAACGAAATTTGATATTATACACTCGGAGTGGCCGCCTCCATTATAACTTGATTTACAATCAGTGTTTCTAACCCCAGCATAGAGCAAAACTAGTACATATGCTTGAAAAAAACTGTAAATATCAAATTAAAAAACAGTAAATCTACATCTTTATCGTCATATTATATTTTGTATAATTTAATGATAGTAATAAATAGAATACAATATAGGGAGGGCATTAAAACAATAAAAATCATGTAATTATCAAAGTTTTAATCAAATTTAATGTCAAAATCTAAAGTCTAAAGTTGCAATTTTTCCAGTGCCTACATGTTAGATAGTATCACTAGCTACTATCTCCTTTTCAACTTGTAAGTCTTCTTGATTTTCAGTTTCATTTTTATTTTTGTTTATATTGTACATGTTATTATTGAATTTTTTGAATAGAATAGAATAGAATAGAATGATTTTTATTCAATATGGATTATTACATAATACTTATTGAAAGTCATTATTTTATTTACCACTGGTTCGGAAAATACCTCTGTCCTGGGAAGAACCAGCAAGAAACCCAGCGGGACTTTTTTTTTAAACATAATTTCACTTAACAATAATTTTGTTTATACAATTTTAAATGAATTTTCATAGAACCAGCATGGTGGCGATCACCTTATTCCCAGGGGTTATTTTCATTCATGTATTCCTTGATATTATAATAACCCTTTTTGTACAGTTTTTCTTTAATAAAACTTTTAAACTTGTTTATTGACAAACTTTGAACATGTTCTGGGATTCTGTTGTAAAAGCGTATACATTGCCCCATAAATGAATTACTAATTCTGTGGAGTCTTGTAAGTGGCATTACAAGCTTATGTTTGTTCCTAGTGTTTAAGGTATGAACATCCTTATTCTTATTAAAGCTATTTATGTTTTTATGTACATAGATTACATTTTCATAAATATATTGCGATGCCAAAGTTAATATGTTTATTTCTTTAAATTTTTCTCTAAGGGACTCTTTACAATTTAGATTATAAATCGCCCGTACGGCTCTCTTTTGCAAAACAAATATAGCTTCAATATCAGTCGCATTACCCCATAGCAAAATTCCATAAGACATTACGCTATGAAAGTAACTAAAATACACTAACCTAGCTGTCTCAACATCTGTGAGACTTCTAATCTTTCTTACAGCATATGCTGCAGAACTAAGTCTGCTTGCTAATTTAGATATATGGGGGCCCCATTGAAGTTTCGCGTCAATAGTAATACCGAGAAAAACAGTGGTATCCACAAGACTCAACTCCTCCCCATTTAAGAGCACATTGGTTTTCGAATGTTTTACATTAGATATTGTAAATTTAATACATTTTGTCTTATTGCCGTTTAAGAGCAAATTGTTGGCGTTAAACCAATGTACTAGTTTCGATAGAGCATTATTTACATCGTCATATTTAATTGACTGCCGTTTCAGTTTGAAAATTAAAGAGGTATCGTCAGCAAATAATACTATATCGTGATTGTCCCCTACAAGATAAGGTAAGTCATTAATATAGATTAAGAACAGGAATGGGCCAAGAATCGAGCCCTGAGGAACGCCCATTGATACTACTGATCCGGAGGAACATTTACCATTAATGACGACTTTTTGAGTTCTGTTACTTAAATATGAAGTAATAAGTTTAAGCGCCAAATTTTTTACACCGTAATGTTGTAGTTTCCTGATTAATGTATCATGATGAACACAATCGAAAGCCTTGGAAAGGTCACAGAAAATACCTAAGGCATCTTGTGAATTCTCCCAGGCATTAAAAATATATTTCATAAGCTCAACACCGGCGTCAGACGTCGAGCGACCCCTTGTAAAACCAAATTGATTTTTATGAAGTAATTTATTTGTATTAAAAAAAATTAACAATTGATCCAAAATTATTTTTTCAAAAATTTTACTGAGAGTTGGTAGTACAGAAATAGGTCTATAATTAGCGGGGTCCAATGTACTACCAGATTTAAATAAAGGTATTACTTTACTATACTTCATTAAATCAGGAAACACACCAGAATCGATACAAGTATTAAAAATAATAGCAAGATGAGGTGCAATTAAATCTATTATGGACGCAATCACTGTAACGGAAATCCCCCAGAAATCTGCGGTTTTCTTTACATCAATGGTTTTGAAGTATTTTACAATATTATGCGGTAATACTTTTTCAAATCTAAATTCTTTTAAACAGGTTTTAACATTCTGTTTAAGTAATGATTCGGCGACAGTTGGAGAAGCATTCAATAACTCTGTTGTCAAGATAGGAACATCAGTAAAATATTGCTCAAACACCGCTGCAACTTCTTGATTTGATTTAG